AGGTATTTAAATTATAATGTAGACGAAAATATATGTATTATGTACGAAAACTTTAATTACGATAAATACCGGCATTTCGTGCTATAAAACGGTCCTAACTGACCTTGATAAGTTTGGGTAAAAAGTGCTTAAGAAACTTATTTTTCTATCCCAGTGGAGAGCAATATAAGATTCATCGATTGGAATTAATCAGTTGATAAGAGTAAAAGTAAGATATGTTAAGCTGAAGTTTATCTGTTTTACTAATCTGATTATAATATTTGCCATTTAACGGTGGTAGAAATATATTTATAAAAATTAAAGTCGTTATAACCCATTTTAATTATATAGTACCTTTTATGGTAAAAGATAATATAGTTTAGTAGTTGTAATAATATTGTTAAGTCTTGTACCTATTAAATTATATAAACATATAATAATCATTAGTATTTAGTTGTGAATGATTTTGGTACTTTACAAGATGTTACGAAAGGCCATGCCCTTGTAAAATCTGCTTATATGATGCGTACAATTATTTAAGTATTAAACTATATATAGTTATATATATATGTGTATATACAGCAGCACCATTAGATTTTTACATTATTAAAGATAATCAGATTGGAAGTCAATACTAACTCAAGTACAATTACAACCATATACACAATCATATTTAGAACCATACACAATTATAATACAAGCCCAACATTTAACAAATATAGAAAATTTTCGACTCATAACACCGAGATTAATTCAGTAAAGGTCCCACATAAATGTTAGACATTTTAGAATACATACAGGACTTTGTTTTGCTGTCTGGTATCTTTTGTAGGAATACCTAAAAAGCCTTTATTAGTAATCCAGGTACAAGAATGTCTCTCGTACGTCAACTGACAGTGACATGTCGGGTTTTCAGACAAGCCGCTGAATAACATTTTCTTATATTTCACTGGTTTGTACAGATACTGATGTGTCACTCTAGTAGCATGTTTTTGTATGAGATGTGTGATATATAAGTATATATATACAGGGAGTGATATGCCAGTAAAAATAAATGTGCGAATCTTTTACCATTTTTAAGCATTAATGTATCCCACATTAATGCTTAAAAATGGTAAAAGATTCAGTTATTAATCTTGAGATTATATTCAAGTAAGTACGTAATCCTAAAGCAACTGGAATATAGTTGTGGAGACTCATACATCATACAAATAAAAAAATAGCGCGTAGAATGAACACATTAAAGCTGTTAACAACTATAATCTGTGGAAAATATCTGTAGTGGAAAACTCGTTAGAATTGGTGCCCAATAACTAGACTCAATCAACCATCCAAGATATTGTCAACAGAGCGATATCATATACCTAGCATAGTGTAAGAGATTATAGAAAAAAGATTATTTAATTCCTGGAATCCAATGATTAGGATTATTTGATTATCAAACAAAAATCGTAATCAGAAAGTATCTTATGCGTACATGCAGATACAGTGAGTGTAGTGTATTCAGATGGGTATCGAACGTGTTTCAATAACAACAAACGAAAACCTGTGAAGCTTTTGTTTGCTCATAATTTACTATCTACCCGTGGCCCATTAGTTTACCCATGATAAAAGCCATTACAACACTGTCAAAAAACCGGAACTCAATAATACAAATAAAATCCGGTAAGATCCATTATTCTTTAATATTACATGTAAAAAATACTGGACATTAAAAAAGTGTGTAAATTGATAATCAGTAATATTGTCTATAGTTATTTCCAAATTTCATAAACACATCTCAAACGTTATTTAGATATTAACGTCCAAAAATCGTCATTTTTATTACTGACTCAACTATAGATCAAAATTAGGTTCAGTTCAGTCAGACCTTAGGCTACAATATATTATCCTAAGTTATAAGAAGAAATTATATTTTATATTATTATAAATACATTTCAGGAAAGACCATTGAACTTGGCACCTATTTAGATCTCATTTCTTTTGTCGTTGAAGTCAACAATCAAGGCATATATCATAATATTGAACTTGGCTATAATCTTTATGGTGTTGATGGGATATACATTATTTATATTATTAACCAGGTCTTAACACGAATAATTTTATGGCCAATATAGGTATTAATTAACGATAAAAATACTGTCTATTACGCAGAAACAGTAAATATAAAAGTATATTAGAAAATGTGAAAAGTACATTGCAAAAAGTAGTCTAATCGCTAAAAGCAATATCTTACTGATAAGATAATAGAAAGTATAATATTAAATAGTGAGTAAACTTAGGTAGCTTACACTAGACATTATATATTATTTCTGAAGAAAGAGATTCTCATACCGTTGGACGTAAAATGCGTAATTTTTTTTATTTATGTTATTTATACACTTTATTGAAACCAGAACAGAAAAATATTAATTAATATTTTATATATAAAATTCTCGTGTCACAATGTTAGTTACCATACTCCTCTGAAACGGCTTGACCGATAATTATTAAATTTTATATGCATATTCAGTAGGTCTGAGAATCGGCTATTATCTATATTACATAATAAGTCCAACCTTAACATTTATTTTTTATTTTTTGAACATTTTTTTGTAATGTGTCATTAAAAATGCATACAACCCTAAATTTTCACCCTTCTACCACCAACCCCTAATTTTTATAGCGATATTAGTATTTAAATTTATATGGCAAAACAACGTTTGCCGGGTCGGCTAGTAAATATATATATATACAATCATAGGTACAAAGGCGGTCTTATCGCTAAGCAATCTCTTACAGGCAACCTGTTCAAGACGGTGAAAAGTGTAGGTGGTGCAAATAATAACACAACTAATATAAATAATACATGCGAATATACATAAACATAAATATATAGACATAAAAATTGTAATGCCAGGAATAAATGCCTATATAATTTAATATATCTAGACTATACACAGTGTCAAGCTAAGCAAACATGTGTTATTAGTACTATACAACAAATAATTACACTTTCTTAATTTTTTTTTGCAAATACATTCATAATGTATATACAATACACACAGACCTATCAATCAATCATACTCATTAATACAATTGTTTATAGTGTGAGAGGAATCGAACCCGCGACCATCGGAAGTAAAGCGGTGTGCTTAACTGCTAGACAACCGAGGCATATAATACTATATAGTCTTATTGCTTATATTATACAGTATACCTTATCTACCTACATTATCTACCTTATCTATATACCTTTCTTTAAAGATACAAGGAAATTACAAAAAAAACATACTGCAGTACTTCAAACTTCCTTTTACAGCTGAATAAAACGATCTAATCCATCTTGGTCAACATGTTACGTCTCAGGTGTTGGAGGTAGTTAGGCCTCATTACACCTCGGGGGTCACCGACCGGTCGGTCATAGGGTAGTAGTCGGTAAGTTCCTAAGTACATTATAGTATTACTTGAATAAATGAATGAGGTCGCTAACAAGGTACGTTCACTGTCACGCTAGTTATTTAATGGTTTTAAAATTAAAGTGTTTTAGGTTTATTTTTTGTGTACAAACATGCAAGTGAATTACGTTAATATCCGTCGAAATGGGACTGTGAAAGATCCCTTGTAGTTTATGGTTCAAAAATTAAATTTGAAATCTTGACGAAATATAAGTATTCATTAAAGATATAACTTAAAAGTAAGGGTTATGAGAAATGGTAAAGACTCCAAAAAATATAAATTCCAAAAGTAAAGGGGAAGTAGACCCAAAAAGTAATGAATCCAATTTGGACCTTCTTTTATTTTTAGTCTCATTATTTCTTAGTCTTTATCTTTTCTGTGTTGTATGTGTGATAAAGTTATATATGCTGGTGATAGGGATTATTCAGATAACTGGTTTAAAATAAAATAGACAGCAAAAATATGGTAATGCTGAATCCAAATAACTAGAACAAGGGGAACGAGAAAAACGACTAAATTTAAAGAGGAAATAAAATATCGTTATCTGACTATCACAAGAGGAATTGCAGGTATTGACACCTGCAATGTAACTGAATGTCTATTTGAATTCTTTTTGTATTGTATCTGTATTTTAAGAAGTTATACTTGTAGGATTACAAAATGAAAATAGAGTCGAAAATTTTTTATATACCTTACTTAAAAGAAATCCTAATTAAATTTGTTCATACAAAACAAAAAATGTGAGATCTTATTCGTATTATCTAACCCAAAACACTAATGGATTAGCAAGAGTGTTGTCTTGTATTACTCAAAGGACTTTAAACGAGTAGACGCTATCTCGAGATTATAGATATATGAAACTCTAATGGGATGAGAAGTTTTGGACAAGAATGTTTCTCATGATATATTATACGGTTCCATGCGGCGTCCACTCAGAAGCTACTGTCTTTACTTGTGGAAATTATTAGATTATTTCTCAATGTTTGCATTTATTGGATTTATTAAGAACTAGCTATAACATGTGACTTCGTACCAGCGAAACTCAACTTTTTTTTTATAAAAATGATTATAATTTCTAAAATAAAAATATTCTAAGTTACTCGTAACAATAGTTTTCTGCGAGAGGAAGACCCGTTAATATCGGTCCAGCCGTTACTAAGATTAGCAAATAAATAAGACACACAAACAGAACGACTGAGAATTTTTTTAAAGTAATCTATTGATGTAATTTCATTTAGTGAAAAGTTGTTAATCTTAAATTACAAACAGATAACTTAATTTTATTTACGTGTGTAGGTATAACTGTCGATATTTTATTATAAGTACATGTTTATTGGTCAGTATGTCAATATATGTAGGTCATTATAAAATTTAGCCAACATTTATAGCTTTATATATATTGTATTTAGAATTAAATCGAATATCAACTACCATTCTAAAGATAATAAAGACATGTTCACACCTAGTAAGTTTAAGAAAAAGTATGGCTTCTAAGGCGACATTAAGTTCCCGCACAATAAATCTCACACCTAACACCAAAGTCCGACTCCAAACGAGATTAACGTTTTTCTACGCGTAAATAAATGAAACCTGAGTATCACATAAATCGCTTTGTGTCCACAGGAAGTCCGCTGTCGTCTGTAACCGGGACAGTCACTCGCGTGTCAGCGGTGGTGGGCGGCGAGGCGGACTTGCCTTGCGACTCGCGGCCGCCGCAACGAAACGACAGCTTACTGCTTGTTGTTTGGTATCGAGATGACAACCCTGTGTACAGGTCGGTAAATTTTCTATTGTTCCTATATTTTAATTTTACAATAATAACTAACTGTGCCCGCGGTTGATCGAGATGACAACCCTGTGATCGAGATGGCAACCCTGTGTACAGGTCGGTAAACTTTCTATTGTTCCTATATTTTAATTTTACAATAATAACTAGCTGTGCCCGCGGTTGATCGAGATGACAACCCTGTGATCGAGATGACAACCCTGTGTACAGGTCGGTAAACTTTCTATTGTTCCTATATTTTAATTTTACAATAATAACTAGCTGTGCCCGCGGTTGATCGAGATGACAACCCTGTGTACAGGTCGGTAAACTTTCTATTGTTCCTATATTTTTATTTTACAATAATAACTAGCTGTGCCCGCGGTTGATCGAGATGACAACCCTGTGTACAGGTCGGTAAACTTTCTATTGTCCCTATATTTTAATTTTACAATAATAACTAGCTGTGCCCGCGGTTGATCGAGATGACAACCCTGTGTTCGAGATGACAACCCTGTGTACAGGTCGGTAAACTTTCTATTGTCCCTATATTTTAATTTTACAATAATAACTAGATGTGCCCGCGGTTTCACACGCGTTAAATTCCAATAAAAATATAGCTTCTGTTTTATTTTGATGCAAAAGCAAAGTTGGATGAAAATCCGTTCAGTAGTTTTTGCGTGAAGGAGTAATAAACATCTATACTGACAACCTTTCGCTTATTATTTAGATTTATAATATTATTAAGATATATCTACATGATTGTTATAGTAATATGAGTAGACAGTGGGATATATCGTCGGCGTTATGTAAACACAAAACGTCACATGTACATATTTTGGTCTATTTTTTATACAACATATTGTAGTGTATTCTGTTTTTTTTTGTGACTAGAATGCAAAATATGATTTGAAGAAATTGATAAACGTCACTTTTTTATAACATCATGGATAACATAAAGTAAATTGAGACGCCAGTGATACCTCTATTGATTTGAGCACTAAGATGCCATGTTCCTGTACTCCGTAATCTCGCTGCTATATACACTGTTTAAATCAAGATTTCAAAATTTGTGTACAAGTCACGCATTTTAAAAGTACTTAGGTATCTACCTTATTTTTTAATTTCTGTTTTATGTTCAATATATATAATACTTGTACAGAAAAGACTTGAAACTTGTTTAGAAAGACATAGGTATCTATATAAAAATATTAACGTAAGCATCTATTTGCAAAATTAGATCCAAAACTAGAAGCTACAGTAATAACATAAAAAAATACATAGAATTTTACGGTTGGTTTAATAATGTTGTCGTATTTTATTTTCTTTACTCACACAGTCTAAAGACATTGTCATCTCTAATTATTAAATACAAAGTTGTTTATTTTCTGTGACATTACTCTGATAAGAAAAAAAGTTACAAGCTTCTAATTTCCCCTCAACAATATTTGGTCGAGTAATTTGAAGAAAGATTTTTCATAAAAACAACGGATCATAGCAGTTAGTATGGGTAAGGATTCGCTTATCCTTAAATATTTAGATAGGAGATTACCGTAAATAATACAGATAAGACGGAAGCTACTTACTTGTGACAGATAACGAAAACCAAAAAAGATTTGCCTGGTTATTATGAATCTCGTCAGAAAGGGACGACCCCTTTTTGCTTCGATCCCAAAATTCGTGTAGCATAAAATTCATTGAGTTTTCCTTTCATTCCGCTCTCTCTAAGCTGTACAGAGTATATATATATAAATAACATATGATATATACCATACTATTATTATAAACGCAATGTATGTTTTATCTGTCTGTTCTAATACTTATTTATGACAATACAACCAAATGAGTCCTGATAAACTTTAACATGAAGATATGTTCTATCATAAGTACGAACATACCCTCTTCTTCTCTTTAATTAAAAAAATATTCAGATAAAAGATGCAATAAGGTATATAAGTTTGTATACACAAAGTCGCAGGTATATATCACCTAGTACATAAATAAAACAAAGTGTGTGTTTGTGTATAGTTAATGATTAACGTTGAATACTATATTCTTGCTCGTAGAGTCTGCTTTGGCTTAACAATATCAGGTTAAAGTAAACCTACAGATATCAGGGCCGTGCTCGGGATGGATATTAGCTACTACTGCAAAAACTACATAATAAATTGAAATTAAATTTGTTACACATATAGATCGTATTCTCAATTAATAAATAATATTTTTTACTCATGTTTAATATGCAATATTGAGTTTGTTTTGCTGTCATAAGAAAGAGAAAAATTTTTACTCTAAATACTATATGAGATTTAGAAAGATATGTTTTTATCTATTCATACGCTAGGCTGATGCTAGTAGGCTAGTAGGATGCCGAGGTAATCGTTACTATGTGGTGGATAAAGATTAAAACTAATTTTGATGCTTAGAATTGGAATGAAATCCAATATCTTTTAAACCACATAGGTTGTATCAAATGCTATAATCTATATATATAAATTGGAGTGTCTGCTTGTAATATTGAAATAACAGTTTTTTGCTACATGCATATGAATATAAATACAGTACATACATCAAAATAACATTTTTTACAATTTTTATCTGTCTGTCTGGCTGTTTGTTCCGGCTAATCTCTGAAATGGCTGGACCAATTTTGATGGGACTTTTATTGGCAGGTAGCTAATGTAATAAGGTGTAACTTAGGCTACTTTTATTTTAGAGAAATTCTTTTATTTTAGAAAAATTAAATTAAATTCCACGTGGACGAAATCTTGGGTACAGCTGGTTAGGTACATAAGTACCGCCTTAATTAATGACTTTTAATTCTTAATTTTTATTAAAATTCAATAACGTGCAATTACAATATCAACTTCTTTAAGCACACGTCATCTCTATATTCTCCATTTCAGACACGGATACGCACTTACACTTGTATAAAGGACTTCATGTAAAATGCACACGCTAATATTTTTCCAGCCCCTGACAGAGCACGATCCGTCCACGTCCCTAGCCCGGCCCTGATGGCTTTACAGATGTAATTTGTTTCTATACAACTGAATTCGTAACTAGACACAATTCTTGGAAAGTCTAATAACAATGTGTTAGTATTTGGAAGACAACATAATATTCTTGTTTACCTCGTAAATTCAAAATAATAAACGTTCTTTATATACATTATTTTCGATAGACTGCCTAAACGTGGGTTTTCAATTCGACGGAATTGCGTGGCAATTTGTAAAAACTGAGTTAAATAGAAATAATTGTTATTCAAATAAACATATTATATGCATATTTGAATAGTAAAATAAGATGTTGCTATTCTTAACCAATTACCTGTGATGTCATTTTTATACCTATATAAAAATACATATATATATACGATAAAAGAAAGCTAATTATAGTTTACGATATTTGTATTTTCAATACATATATCACTAATAGTTCATATTTTAATTTTTATATTTACCTTGGTGCTCAATAAATCCTTATAAACATGCGTATTGCACTTATCTTACTTTTGTAATGTTTAGTACCCAGTATACTATTGAGAGCAACGTTTACTCAACGACTTAGATTAAAACATCGTGAGACTTTTTTAGTGGTTTAAATTGCGCGTTAGCCCATTTCATCATGTTCTGTTTAAGGTGGAATTGTTAAAATTTATTTAACTTAACGATGCACTAACCGGGTCGCGGTAAATTAACAGCTGTCGCCCTCTAGAGATTTAAATGTGACCTCTATTCACCGCAAGTTAGCCTCAAACGACTTAAATTACGGTTGACAGTTTAATTTGGCTAATATTGATATTGGATTCAGTGTTTTAGTAACTTAAGTACACCGATAGTTTTCCGGGGATTTGCAGGCGTAGAAATGTCATCATTATTACATTGTATAAAATAAAGTCGCTGTCGCTGTCTGTCCGTCCCTATGTATGCTTAAATCTTTAAAAGTACGCAACGGATTTTATAGCGGCTTTTTTTAATAGATAGAGTGATTCTAGCGGAAGGTTTATATGTTTAATACATGTACATCCGGAAGAAGCCGGGGCGAGTAGCTAGTTTATTATAAACGTAAAATATTTGTACTCTCTATTGATTTCTGTGTTCATCTTCATGCCAGTAATATATATATATTTTTAAAACTACGATGGTGGCAAACAAGCATACGGCCTGTGGTGCCCCTAAATGATTAACGTAGCCTATAGACGCCTGAAACATCAGGGGCGTCACAATTATTATTAATTTATTTATTTGTTATAAATGTGGTGTACACAGTGTTGCAAACTATTTTTATACCTTTTTTATTACATTTTTTATAATGTTATATTGTTTTTATATGACAAAAGTCTATTTAATGCACAAATATTCTACAACTACAACGGTGCCGTTTTACTTTTTGCTCGTCATCTTGGTCTCCATCCTTCACACACAGTAGATCTAATTAAAAAATAAAAATTAAAGTGAGAACTATTATATAGGTATAGTAAAACCGAAAGTGATAATACTGAATGGTAATGATTTATTTTTTATTGCCTTGGTGGTCTAACGGTTTAGCATACCACCTTACTTCCGATGGTCGCGGGCTCGAATCCTCGTATAGTATAAACATTTATATGATTTATCATGAGAATGATTGTTAGTATCGGTCGGGGTGTTTTCTCTGTATAATATACAGAGTATTGTAGATGAATTTACAAAAACATATCTATATATTCACATAATTTGTCTTGTACCTATAACACAAGCTCTGCTTAGCGTGGCACTAGATGGCGCTGTGTGAATTATCTAGGGATATTATATGATATTGCAAATCTAATAACATAAGTTCGCGCGGACGTGTTAGTAATACTTATTATATATATGGCATATTTTTGCTCTGTCTAACCACCCGTGGCGACAGCTGTGGACGCGACATTTTTGATGGATGAACCTAGTCTTTCATGGTCCAGTTTATGTCAAATAAACACCCTATAAACCTTCCACAACATATTTCTTATATTATTCTAACCCATA